GAATGGCAGCAGTTATTTCTAATAAGTAACGTGTGAAAATCAATAAGACAGTTCTAGAAACACCTCCTGCTTGTTCATGGCATAAAGCCAAAGCTCTGCTATATGAGTATTACATGTTTTTGACAAAACATCTAGTCTTACACCAGATACAATATTCTAGTTTCCTGAAGAGGAAACTTTATTAAAGCATGTGCTAAGTGAACTATAAGATTCATATTAGAAACTTTAGTCCTATAGCTGTTTCTATTTATTTGGGGTTGGAAAAAATGGCATTATTGTACACATACTTGCTTTATAGTTAAAAAAAAAAAAGGGGGGGCAAAATAAATCACTCTCAAAGCATCAAGGAAATTTATAGTGGAATTATGAATCATATCATTGTAGAGTCATTTTCCTTTGTATCATGATATCATATGAGACCAACGTCAAAAGGAATAGGTAAAAAAATGGACAAAAAGTTTTTAAAATCATTTCAGTTAACAGATTTAAACCGAGTTTAGCTATGAAGCAATGAGCAATGGAATACAAACTAGTGAAAGAGATAAACAACTAGGGATTAAATGTTGAGGAAAATTGTTTTCTAATGAATTAATTTTGAATTGATAAGAGAAAAATTAAAGAATAAGGACCTTTAAATATACAACTTTGGTGACAAAGTATTTGTCTATACAAGTTTCTTATGTCTAGTGCCTTCCTTACCTCCCAAATATTATTTTATAACTCTCTGATAATTTCTCAATGATATGTATGAGATATTCATATCTTAAAAAGTCACCAATATTTTGAACTAGTATCAAAAATAAAGATGTATTTGACATAGGTTTATTTACTGGTTTGATACATAAATAAAATAAAAATATAAATCACAACAGCAAAGATAATAAAAACTGCATACTCACCTTAGGGTTTTTAAATAAGCTAATTGTTTTTCTTCTACACAAATAGCTAAAAATGTACAGTGAATACAAATGTACTTATTTCTCTTTATTTTTCTATATTTTGATTGGTTAGTGAAGTGTCACAAAAGTGATGCTGCTGAATTTTTGCTATTTTCTCTCTAAAGTGATGTTCTGAAAGAAATATATATATAATTTGAGATTGTGAAGAAGTCCTTTTTTTAGTGCTAATTTATTTCCTTTCTGTACTTTGTAGTAGACATACATGTTAAAAATTCAACAGAAAGAAGAGGATAAAATAATCATGACATGAAGCCCTTTTAGAAATTAGCAATGTTCTCTATTAGTAATGGTATGATGATATGCCACTCCGTGAGCTCTTGAACCAAGTTATTCATTATTCCTCTGCCACATGGAAACAGGATATTTGGTCTTTTTCCTATCTCAATGCAGTGCCTATGGTTTTGTTACAGAAACCTTAATTTTGCCTGCTTTTAGGTAAAGCAGTTTTTATACAAACTTCTCAGAGGGCAGCCAGATAACTTTCAAGCACATTTGAAACACCAGAGGTGACTCTGCCAAGTGCCCCAGAGAAAAGTTCAAACTATGATAAAGACACTTCTTCGGCCCATCTTTCCAAAGTTGCTGACTATGTAGGCTTATTATAAGCATTAGACGAAACCATTGAGAGGAATGCGTCAAAGCTTGAATGTGCAGCTCCAGGTTATGATGTCAGCTTTTCCTTTGGATTACTGAAGAAGGAGAAAATCCATTATCCATGCATGAAACAAAAAGTTATATGGCCAATCAAATGGAAGGCATGCATTTGGTAATCCAATCCCAATATTTGCCATTTGCTTTAGTGGGGCTTAAATAGGTCACTTAAGTGGCGTATGCTCCACCTTCTAGAAGTGAGCAGAAATTTTAAATTAATGGTTATTTTACTATCAACATGTTTTTGAAATTGAAAATGGAACACCGGTTTTATAAGTAGTTTCTTCATTTTATTATTTATGAAGTGGCTAGCCTTGATTTGAAAAGTTCTTTAACATGACTAGCTTTCTGACATTCTAATGCCCATTTTCTAAGACTTCTGTGCTGTAAGCTATTTTAACAAAAGGTCAGTGGTATGTCTTTAAATTCTGATTTTAGAGGAATTCCTAAATTCTCATTACTTTCACATTTTATCTACTGTGGAATGATAACTTTGTTAACATGAAGCTTTTCAAGCTGTCACTGTATTCCATCAGGTATTTCTGTTGGTTCATCAAAGTGAAATGAAATAAAATGAAAATGCAGGAAAAACAAATGAATAGAACACAATTAAGAGTAATTCATTTTGGCCTGGTATGGTGGCTCATGCCTGTACTCCCAGCAGTTTGGGAGCTCAGGAATTAGACACCAGCCTGGCCAACATGGTGAAACCCTGTCTCTACTAAAAATACAAAATTTAGCCAGGCGTCAGGCATCATGGTGCGCGCCTTCTGGTACTGGAAGGCTGAGGCAGGAGAATCACTTGAACCTGGGAGGTGGCGATTACAGTAAGCCGAGATCATGCCACTGCACTCCAGCCTGGGCAACAGAGCGAGATTCCCTCTCAGAAAAAAAAAAAGAAAAAGAGTAATTCATTGAAACACCAGTTTGTAAAGCATCAGGGATGCTTTTCTCTTGTTAAATATAACGTTGTTGAACACTCTGCTAAAATTTTTCATTTAAAAAAAGTAAATGAATTTTAATAACATACTATGTCATGCATGAAAAATATTTAAAGTTGACATTAATATAAAACTTATTGCGCTACTTTAAAGTTTCTTTTGCTTTCTTTTTAAACTTTTATTTTAGGCTCAGGGGTACAAGTGCAGGTCTGTTACACAGGTAAACTTTTGTCATGGGGGTTTGTGGTACAGATTATTTCATCATCCAGGTATTAAGCCTAGCACCCATAGTTACTTTTCCTGATGATCTCCCATCTCTCTGCCTCCACTCTCTGAAAGTCCCCAGTGTGTGTCGTTCCCCTCTATGTGTCCATGTGAGTCTCATCATTTAACTCCTACTTATGAGTGAGAACATGCAGTGTTTGTTTTTCTGTTCCTATGTTAGTTTGCTAAGGTTAATGGCCTCCAGCTCCATCCATGTCCCTGCAAAAGACATGATCTCTGTTCTTTTTTATGGCTGCATAGTATTCCATGGTGTATATGTACCACATTTGCTTGATCCAGTGTGTCACTGATTGACATTTTGGTTGGTTCCATGTCTTTGCTATTGTGAATATTGCTGCAGTGAACATATGCATACATGTGTCTTTATAATAGAATGATTTATATCCCTTTAAGTGTATACCCAGTAATGGGATTGCTGGGTCAAATGCTATTTCTGTCTTTAAGTTTTTGAGGAATTGCCACACTGTCTTCCACAATGGATGAACTAATTTACATTCACACCAACAGTGTATAAGCATTCTTTTTTCTTCACTTCACCAGCATCTGTTATTTTTTGACTTTTTAGTAATAGCCATTTTGGCTGGTGTAAGATGGTATCCCATTGTGGTCTTGATTTGTATTTCTCTACTTATCATGAACAGACAGTTTTGAAAATTTTGCAATCTTATGAAGACAAATTAATACAGAATTTTCTGAGCTGGGTTACAAATGGCTTTTCTGGGGCAAGATAATAGAGATTAACAAAATGAGATTGGGAGAAATTGAGCTACATTATTGTCAGATTTAGCTTGCTGGTAGTAAAAAACCAAAAAAAACAACAAAACTGAAGTCTTGAACTTATTAATAACTATCACTGGTTTCCTTCCCTCTCCTAAACATGGATTGTCAGATTTCTCTCAGTGAGTTGTCCTCATCCACTACTAGGGTCAGTCAATGACCCTGCACTGTATTCCCTGAATGATTTTGCAATGAGTTTAATTCAGATTCTTGACACTTTAAGAAATGTCAATATTCTCCCTTAACTTCTCTCAGCTTCCAATGTCTTCCATTTCTAATCCACCCTGCACACAGAACAGTTTATTTATCCTTCTTAAAAACGGAAACTACTCTCAGTTGTCTACAGGATTACTCAACTAACTTAGAAAAATAATTTCCCATATTTGGCCAGGCGTGGTGGCTCACGCCTGTAATCCCAGCACTTTGGGAGACCGAGGCAGGCGGATCACGAGGTCAGGAGATCAAGACCATCCTGGCTAACACGGTGAAACCCTGTCTCTACTAAAAATACAAAAAATTAGCCGGGTTTAGTGGCGGGCGCCTGTAATCCCAGCTGCTGGGGTGACTGAGGCAGGAGAGTGGTGGGAACCTGGGAGGCAGAGCTGGCAGTGAGCCGAGATCGCGCCACTGCACTCCAGCCTGGGCGACAGAGCGAGACTTCGTCTCAAAAAAAAAAAAAAAGAAAGAAAAATAATTTCCCGTATTTGTTGTCTCAAAGATACTAGAATATACCGATTTATACCTACTTATTTTTCCCACACAAATTAGCTCACTGTGAATAACCTCCATGCTGTCTTTTTGTTGTTGTTGTTGTTATCCATCTGAATTCTGCCCATTTAAGGCAAACTGATGTCTATAATTACTCCTGCTCAAGAACTTCTAGAGCCTTCTAACATCTGGTAACCAATTCCGTTTTTAAAGTACCTACTACCATGGTTTCCGTTTTCTTGACTGTATCCTAACAGAAAAAATAGTACAAAAGGATCACAAATACAGAATAAAAGCTAGAAAGATAGAATGATTAATATTCACAAATTTTAGAGTAATGGATGGATAGTTTCATTGTAATTGAAAGTGCGGAGGATTTCTGTGAATTAGTATACTTTTAAAGCATTATTTCAGTGAATCCATGGCTGAGCACCTACTCTAATCTAGGTGCCGCCATCGGCCATAACAAGAAAAGGAGAATAAACCCTGGATTACAAGGCCTTCCCTTCAAGGCTGGTCTTGTTTATTTCTGAATGTCTTTACAGAGAACTCAGTTCTGATTTTGCAGTTTTATGTTACATGCATAGGACAGAAAATAGTGACTAGGGAAGCTCAGATTTCTAGCATGTCTGTTGAATAAATAATACTATTTTCAACTTTCTTACTGCTTTCATCTTAGGATCTACAGCACTCTAAAATACTAGTCAACCTTCAGAATACTCCTGTACTATGCTTATGGGTGATCTTTTTCTGAGGTTTACTGAGGGGAAAATCTGATGAATCGTAGACTGCCAAGCAAGTTCCCTGGAAGATGCAGATCAGACCAAGGAGCAGCCTTTTTGCCACAACAGGTAGTCTTGTTACTGCTTCAGGACTGCAAGAAGGAATAAATGAAAATGTGTTCATGTATGTGGCCTTAAGACTGTCACACAGAATTTGAAAAGTGAGAGCTTATCCTTGGAAAAAGAAAAAGGCTAAAGGCTGGTAGACACAAGAGATAGGACTGGACACTTGGAGAACAGGCTGATATCTTCTTAAATGCTGGGCAGAATTTTTAAAAAATCTGTGGTCTGTTTTTGCTACGTAGACCCTATATACTCTTCTTAGTAACATGCCCACATGGAAATAACCATCAGTCTCAGATGGAAAGAATGAGAAATCATCTAAATAGAGATGCAGAAAAGATTTAGCAGGATGAAAAGAACTGAACAGCACGAAGAGATGGGTGATATATAGTTCTGGAATTATACATTCAAAACACAAGCTGGTGAGACATTTAGAGAAAGCACTTTTGTATGCACTGTCTTCAGCCCTCTGCCAGGAAAGTCGTCTAGCCCATGAATAAAAGCAATGTTTCGGGACAACCAAGGGTCCTTTATCATTTCCTGTGTTCCTGTGGGACTTCCCTAGCCTTTGGATTCCTCACATTGCTCACTGCTCTGTGTCTCAAGCCTTGTCTCCTTGACATCCATATGGATTAGCTTTCTGGCTCCCAATTTAGCTCCATTTCCTTGATTGTGACAACTTTACATATAGGTATGCTGCCATTTACATTCTACATGGCTCCTCACACATGCGTACAGCATCCTTTAATTCATTTCTTTATAAAGCTGAAATTCAGTGAGTTCCAACCACATGCTAAGGACTGTGCTAGGTGCTAAAAATTAGTAGTGAGCAACACACTGATTTTTAGGAGTTTATACATTGAGAGGGACTAAAATATTATTTAAACAAAAATGATTGGCGTAAATGTCATGTAGAAAAACATAGAATATGTGATGGCAAATAACAAAGCTCCTTGTCTAGGGCTTCAGGTACATTGTCCCAGAGGTGTCACCTCTAGACTAAAGCCTATGGCTATTGAATATGAAGGGACATGGGGTGGAATAGAGTGGCGAGGACTCCTGGGTACGTGCCTTGTGTGAAATTCTGAGTTAGGAAGGATCTGTTCTCTCTGAGGAATGAGTGTAGGCTAATGCCACTGGAGCAGACTAAGCATGAGGTAGGAAGACTTCATCTTGCTTTCCAAGAGGACAAATGCCTGGGTAGCAGAAAGGAAAATGAAGGAAAGAAAATGGATTCAACTGCTGATTGGGACCTGGGGACAATTAGGTTGAGGGTGTGAGGAAAGTGATGGCCGGCATGGCTCCATATTTTTAGATGAAGAAAGGACATCTGGGCAGCATCTGCCTGATGTTGGCCAAGCCTATGATATACAGCAAACAGGTGCCCAGTTTCATCTGTCAAGAATAATATAAATGTAGCAACACTGTTCCCCTTGTCACATATTTGTGAAAGTAAGAGAGAGAGTGTGTGTGTGTGTAAGGTATGGAGGTCAAGAAAAGGCTGCTATCATGCTCTCTGGGTAGTTTTTGAGAGAGGAGGAAAGACCCAGGAATTAAAATGTAAATGAGATACATAATCATGGTGAAATTAAAAAATGGAGTAGGAAGTAACCATGAATTAGATCCTTAAGGCAGAATGTTCTGGAAGAACATGGAGAAGATAAACAGCTTAGCTGAGTTCTTGATTACATACAGAAGTGAAACCCTTGCATATATACAAAATTACATTAATATTAGAAGTCTTTTGGTGTGATTAAAGTCAAAACATTAAACTTACTGAGCATATATGGAATCATTATTTGAAATTTTTGTATATTCAAATTATAGTTGTATTATTTTTCTGGATACAGTTTTATTAAAATGAAGACAAACTTAAAACATGGGAATATTGCCTGGAAAGTAGAATCAAATGTGCAATAAATTTCTAGAAATTAACAAATGGTTTCATTTACATTATAAGCAATTATTGATGTATAGCCATTAATCTTTTCATTTGTTTTCTGATCTTATAAACACTTCAAATAATATTTATTTTAAAACTTTTTAATTGATTCAAAATTAATCTCAATAATGACATCAATTTTTGGATAAAGTTTATATAATCATTATTATTATTAAAAATGAAAAAAATCCAACTATATAAGGTGAAACCTTTATGGAAGACCATAAACTTATTCAAGCATATTTTTGCTTTGTCAAAAAATTTATCCCTTAATGTCAAACAAAAGATTATAGAGCTAAATAGTACTTTTCTATGAAAAGAAAACAATGACAACAATGAAAATAAAAATCAAGACTTAAGAAAGAATAGAAAACCTTAAGGAATATAATAGTGACAGGCAATTTTAGCATTAATTATGTAATCCCTTATTTAAAGTTAAACATAGCTATGACAAAACTGAAACATTCTCTTGCTAAATGTGATATGCCAACTGAATAGTGAGAAAGTTTCCCTTCTAAATAGCTTAAACTTAGCCTGGAAATGCAGATTGTTGGTATTTTCTCTACCCTCCAAAATTGTGATAATGAAATCTTTTAGTCTTCCCATTTCTGTTATACATAAATATGATAAAACGAGAACAAGAAAATATGTTTTCATTGCCTTAGGATGATGCATTTGAACTCAGAGTCTTCATATAATTATCATATTATCAGAACTTCTACAATGACGATAGTCAATACTAAGAGCAAAAGTTATCCTAAAGTTCTTCCATAACGAAATGTGTTATTAGCAAAGATTTATTTAACAGTTTCAAAGTATTTTATAGTCTAAAAATCACATACATTCACACATATGTATTATTTGAATAAATGCCTAAGAAAATGAAACCACAGTTTAAAGAAAACACATTTTTAAATTTTAAAGCAAAGATCATTTATAGCCGTAACTAAAATATTAAATACCTCTTAAGTGTGTCTAGGATTCATAGGCAAAGCAGACATGACTCCTGATGGATTTTGTTTCTTGACAATTTTTGCTCACTTGAAATCCCTAGAAAATATGCCCACCGGATTAACAACAATTTTAGAGTAACTTATGAATTGGCTTTTAGGTAAAGTTTCTGAATATTCATTGTTGAGCTACCTCCTGCTCCACACATAAATTATGATATAAATTGTTCTAAATGTAATATATATTATTGTTACATGTGATCTAGTGTCACACACAAATATCTGTTCACCTCATCTGCATGACTGAATGGCAGAAGTTTTAGAGCAGCTACCCCAAAGCAGCAATGTCAGCCACCTTCTCCAATCTTCCCTACACTTCTCACAGCTCTCTCATAGATGACAGTATGCCCTTCACCAAGATCCATCCTTTCTTAATTATATGGAAAACCTCAATTTCATAACCCATGAACAGAAAGGGGAAAAATCTCTCATTCTTTTACTCTCTACAGTGCCAAATATACTGTTTGATTTTTCTCTTTCTGCCTCTCTGACCCTGTTTTCCTGTGTCTTTTTCTTTCTCTTTTCTCTTTTTTAGTGATCGGGTAATTACTTCTGGTCCATACTATGGCCTCCTTTCCATAGTTTTATTTTCCAAGTGCTCTCTGCATTATCAGTTCCTCTTCCTCTCTAGATTACACCAATTCTCTATTTTTTAGTAGCTTCATTTTGGAAACACCAACAGTGGCATTTTTATGAACACAGTACATTTCCGTACACATACACACGCATATCACACACACACACACATACATACACACCTCACACACACACATACATACACACCTCTGTTTAAGACCTTGAAACCCAGAAAATTCTAAAAAAGTAGATCAGAGGTGTACTTCCTTTCAACAAATTCAAATTTTGGCCAAAAATATCTTTTTGTGAATACTTTGTAAATCTCTACCCTCATCTACTGAAAATTATGCATAATGTTTCCAGTTGTGTTGAAATGCTTCAGTATAGGGTAGCATTTTTTCCTATTTTTAGTTAAGAACTGAATAGAACCCAATGCTGAGAAGGAGTGACAAATGAGATCCCTTCCTGAAGCAACTACGAGGGGAATATAAGGTCCACAATATAGCTCGTTTTTGAAATATGATTAACCATTGAATTACACTAATCTCTTTGTAAAACCCTGCATTATGGTAGCATGTGCAGTATTGGAAATTTAAGAAATATATGTAATTCTTCTATACACTTAGAGTTTTTAGTCCAGATGTCAAATGATAAATTATAAATGCTGAGTACTAATATTCTCCCTCCAAATTGCATTAAAAGTACTCTGCAGCATAGGAAATGGAAATTTTAATTCACTAGTCTACTTATAACTTCAAGTTAATCTTCTCATAAAATTGTCTGTCTTGGATGGGGAACATCACACACGGGGGTCTGTCGTGGGGTTGGGGGTCGGGGAAGGGATAGCATTAGATATACCTAATGTAAACGATGAGTTAATGGGTGCAGCACACCAACATGGCACATGTATACATCTGTAACAAACCTGCACGTTGTGCACATGTACCCTAGAACTTAAAGTATAATAAAAATAAATAAATAAATAAAAATAAATAGTAAAAAATATTTACAATATCTTTATGCACAGGTAGTACATTTATAAAAACAAAATACCTACAAATAGAAAAAAATTGTCTCACAAAGTATATTTACACATCAATTTACTAAACTGAAATTAGAACGTTTGTAAGAATTGATATACGTATAAAAATATTGATTATGTATAATTAGCTTTTTTATTATTGATAGCATTTTTTAAATTAGAAGAAAAAACAAGGTTTATTATATTATGAAAAGCCAGCAGAAACATGCAATTGTGAGATTATATCCTTAAATATTCACGGATGTCCTGTTTCCATTTTATTTACCCCAGTTTCTTTTTTTTTTTTTTTTTGAGACGGAAGTCTCGCTCTGTCGCCCAGGCTGGAGTGCAGTGGCTCGATCTTGCCTCACTGCAAGCTCCACCTCCTGTATTTACCCCAGTTTCTTAACTTAGTAATCTTGAACTCAGCAAATATTTATATATGGTGGCCATGTATCATTTACAATACATAGTAAAAATCACTGATAATTTGAATGAAGCATTGCAGGAAGTATCCTAAACAACACTAGGGAAAAAAATGTATTGTTAATATATTGAAAATTACAAAAGAAAATCTATCCCTGTTATGCTAAAATAATGAAATTTGTTCTTTGTGATTTCCTAAAAGTAGATGGATAAAGTAATTTACAAGTTTTTGGTTAGTATATTATTTAACTTATTTTTTGTTTTTTATTTTATTTTTTTTAATTTTTTTGAGACAGAGGGTCTTTCCATCGCCAGGCTGGAGTGCAGCCTATTTATGATCTCAGCTCACTGCAACCTCTGCTTCCCGGGTTCAAACGATTCTTCTGCCTCAGCCTCCTGAGTAGCAGGGACTACGGGCATATGTCACCACGCCCAGCTAATTTTTGTATTTTTAGTAGAGACAGGGTTTCACCATGTTGGCCAGGATGGTCTCTATCTCTTGACCTTGTGATCCGCCTGCCTCGGCCTCCCAGAGTGAACTTAC